GCAATTTTCAAAAAAATATTTTCGATATTTCGATGCTCCAAAACTTTTTCGTTTCGCATCCTAGACTAAAACACACCAGTAATTATCGGTTGTTCTCGTCAAGGAGCTATTAGAACTCCAACCAGAATAATTTTTTTCCGAGATAAATTTTCACCCCTTGGACTTTTTAAGAGTAAGATAAAAATTTTGGTCGAAATTTGTTTTTGGATTTCAGGAGTTCTGATGAGTTTTCCTAAGGCCCCCCTAAGAGTTATAAAAATTAATATAATGAACCTTGGACCTAAAGTTGACCAAACAATAGATATAAGCCTCGCAATTTTCAAAAAAATATTTTCGATATTTCGATGCTCCAATACTTTTTCGTTTCGCATCCTAGACTAAAACACACCAGTAATTATCGGTTGGGCTCGTCAAGGAGCTATTAGAACTCCAACCAGAATAATTTTTTTCCGAGATAAATTTTCACCCCTTGGACTTGGTAAGAGTAAGATAAAAATTTTGGTCGAAATTTGTTTTTGGATTTCAGGAGTTCTGATGAGTTTTCCTATGGCCTCCCTAAGAGTTATAAAAATTAATATAATGAACCTTTGTCCTAAAGTTGACCAAACAAAAGATATAAGCCTCGCAATTTTCAAAAAAATATTTTCGATATTTCGATGCTCCAAAACTTTTTCGTTTCGCATCCTAGACTAAAACACACCAGTAATTATCGGTTGTGCTCGTCAAGGAGCTATTAGAACTCCAACCAGAATAATTTTTTTCCGAGATAAATTTTCACCCCTTGGACTTGGTAAGAGTAAGATAAAAATTTTAGTCGAAATTTGTTTTTGGATTTCAGGAGTTCTGATGAGTTTTCCTATGGCCCCCCCTAGGAGTTATAAAAATTAATATAATGAACCTTTGTCCTAAAGTTGACCAAACAAAAGATATAAGCCTCGCAATTTTCAAAAAAATATTTTCGATATTTCGATGCTCCAAAACTTTTTCGTTTCGCATCCTAGACTAAAACACACCAGTAATTATCGGTTGTGCTCGTCAAGGAGCTATTAGAACTCCAACCAGAATAATTTTTTTCCGAGATAAATTTTCACCCCTTGGACTTGGTAAGAGTAAGATAAAAATTTTAGTCGAAATTTGTTTTTGGATTTCAGGAGTTCTGATGAGTTTTCCTATGGCCCCCCTAGGAGTTATAAAAATTAATATAATGAACCTTTGTCCTAAAGTTGACCAAACAATAGATATAAGCCTCGCAATTTTCAAAAAAAAATTTTTCGATATTTCGATGCTCCAAAACTTTTTCGTTTCGCATCCTAGACTAAAACACACCAGTAATTATCGGTTGTACTCCTCAAGGAGCTATTAGAACACCAATCAGAATAATTTTTTTCCGAGATAAATTTTCACCCCATTAAATTAAGATTAAAACACACCAGTAATTATCGGTTGGATTTGGTTTTGGATTTCAGGAGTTCTGATGAGTTTTCCTATGTCCTCCCCAAGAGTTATAATTGTTATCACGATGAACTTTAGTTCTAAAATTAATAATTAAAGAGTTATAAGTCTCGTAAGTTCCACAAAACGGGATTTCATTTTTTCGCAACTTTGCTTGGTATTTTCGGTTGTTTAAACAATATAAATTTTTTTTTTAATACCAGAGAACTCTGTTACTATTTGTGGGGCTATTAAAACCCACAAAATAATTTAGAAATTTTTATTTTGGGGGGGCCGCTTTTTAGGGGGGGGCTATATTAAAAAAATTTTTTAGAGTTCTGATAGCCCCCCATGGAATTGTTATAATTATCCCTTTGATGTTTAGCTCTAAAATTAATATTAAAAGTGTTATAAGACTCGTAAGTTGCACAAAACGGGATTTCCGTTTTTTCGTAACTTTGCGTGGTATTTTCGGTTGTTTAAACAATATATATAATTTTTTAAATACCAGAGAACTCTGTAACTATTTGGGGGGCTATTAAAACCCATAAAATAATTTAGAATTTTTCATTTTGGGGGGGGCGCTTTTTAGGGGGGGCCTATATTTAAATTTTTTTTTAGAGTTCTGATAGCCCCCCAAGGAATTGTTATAATTATCCCTTTGAAGTTTAGCTCTAAAATTAATATTAAAAGTGTTAGAAGACTCGTAAGTTGCACAAAACGGGATTTCCGTAACTTTGCGTGGTATTTTCGGTTGTTTAAACAATATAAATTTTTTTTTAAATACCAGAGAATTCTGTAACTGTTTGGGGGGCTATTAAAACCCATAAAATAATTTAGAATTTTTCATTTTGGGGGGGGGCGCTTTTTAGGGGGGGCCTATATTTAAATTTTTTTTTAGAGTTCTGATAGCCCCCCAAGGAATTGTTATAATTATCCCTTTGAAGTTTAGCTCTAAAATTAATATTAAAGGTGTTATAAGACTCGTAAGTTGCACAAAACGGGATTTCCGTTTTTTGCAACTTTGGATGGTATTTTCGGTGGTTTAAACAATAGAACTATTTCTAAAAAGTATAGGGAACTCTAGAACTCTTGGGGGGGCTATAAGAACTCTCAAAATTTTTTTAAAAAGTTGAGGATGGGGGGCCAACTTCACAGAGGTACAATTAATGCAATATATTTTTCCCAGATCACGCACCGTTGGTTGATTTAATGGAGAAGACCCAGCTCAAAGATAGCTAAAACAAGAGCCAGCCTTGGAACTCAGGCAGCATAATTTATCATTTTCTTCTTAATTAAATTTATATTTTCTTTGGGGGAGGGAGAGCTACAAATCTCCAAGGTCGTCACTGTTTAAAACTAATTAGGGATTAAAGGGAACATGGGCTTGCCAGCTCAAGTCCTCCCTTCAAAAATAAAAATGTTTTTTCAATGACACATATTTGTTTTTATCAAATAATGAATATTATGACAGAAAAACATTATTTCTGAATATAATATATATTTTTTAGAGTAAAAATTCCTCTGACTTTTTTTTCTTTTATTTTTCTACTAGTTCAAAAAAAGGGATTGTTGGGACTAGATTTATATGTTAAGATTAAGAGCAAGCCCCGACTCAATTTTGTAAAAAGGAACCTGTTCCCGATATTTATTTTCGTAGTTTTAGAATTACTAAATTTCAATTTAATTTCAATCTAAAATTCATAAACTTCGATTTGGTAGTAATCTATTCGATGGATAAAATATTCTTTTATCCAGTCTCAATAATATGTAAAAATCATAAGGGGTAAAAGGAAAAAAAGGGAATAACAATAAAAATTTATTCCTCAAAAAATGTGTGAATAAATTTAACCACAAATGTCATACTTTTAGATATGATAACTTAAGCATTAACCTGTTTTAACAATACTGAGTCCTAATATCTAGTCACTTTACTATGAAGTAATAATAACAGTATATTAATAGACTATTGTGTAAGTAAAATGGTGTTCTTTAAAGACTACATTACAGTTCACAGTTTGAATAATGTTCAATTGAACATATTAACAAATTTGTAATATTGACTTATGGGTACAATCCACTCAATAAGTTTTTGTTTTTATACTGGCCTGAGTCCCTGAGATTAAACTTAGCAACATCATCTAGTCACTTATAATAAATCATTTATGATCGAATAAGGCAAAATCTTAATTGTTTAAATATTAAAAGTGATATTTATGAACACAGACAGAATTTTTATGCTGTTGTATGTATGTTTCACCAATATATCTTTCGAAATTTAGTGAAACTAAACCTATTTTATACTTGGAGATAAAAACTTTTGGGAATATTTTGATAAACAATTTTCTTTGACTATATTATTTTCCCCCAATTGAAATAAGTTTATATTTAATGGCAACCGATTAAAGTAAAAAAAAAAAAAAACTCAAAATATACTATCTTAATTCCATGTTAGACAATAGTATTTCATTACATACTATATTATTATAGGAAGATGTGGTAATACAGAACTCAATTTGTCTTGGATTGTCAAGTCCTCTTTGATAATTATTGTCTTTTAGTATAAGTCGAACATAGTAATTAATTATTAATGCATTTCAACTTTGCTCTCCACATAATCATTCATGTTAATTATCCTTCTACCTTTTTTGGTTTTACTTCTTCAGGTTCTTGAAGATTTTTGCTGTAGGAGGTTAGAATGGAGCAAGGTTCCACATAATATTCTTGAATTTGATGTCACAAAAAAAAAAAAAAGAAATAGTGTGATGAATGGATTTATGAATGAAAATCTCTATAATGTACCGCTTTGAATTAAAAGTGTAGAAACTTACAGTTCATTGAATAACAGATAAAAAATAACAGTTTTATCTTATTATCTCAAGGTTTTTATTTAAGGATCAATCAATAAATTAAAAAAAATTAAACTGTTGAACCACTTTGGTAACTGAGCAAACCAAAACCTAGCATGTACTGTTCTTAGTTCCCTTGCTGCAGGTTGAGAGCACTGTTGGGTCTATGGAGGGGAGGGCGCTTTCGGGCTGCAGCCCACCATAATTGAAACCTGGATCCGCTAATAGTTGAGAGAGATAGTGTCAACTCATTATAACTTACCTTTGAGATATCCACAGGGTTCCATATTAACAAATCTTACTATAATTATCTTATTATTACATAAAAATTAATAGTATATTTTAATTCATCATTTAATTATTTAAAAATTTTAATTTTTTTTAAACCGCATAAAAATCCTATTTTCGTCAATGATACAATAAAATAACAATATATCAGAAAATACTTTGACAGTATACCTGCAAAACCTCGTACAATCAATCCAATAAAACTAAATATTTTGCATTGAATTGAGCATGCCATTTTAATGTCTATAATGTGAATCCAGACATTGTTTTAAGGAAGAAGGCTCAAAACAATAAAAAAAAAACTTAATAATATAAAATCAAACTAAACGGAAAAAATTGTAATTTTTCTTTGCGGTCTTTCCTCGTCTACCCCCTGCAGTAGAAGTTGCCATTTGATAGAGTATGATCCACAGATCCCATCCTCTACTAAAGTTACTGTTTCCTCTCCTGGTTACTGTTCCACTCCAGATCTCTCCTGTCGAAGATCTTTTTCAACTCTTCATCCCAATTCTTCCTCAGAGTCTTTTCCCTTCTACGACAGCTTCACAGACAATATGATTCTCAGATATTTGAGAAACATGTCTCAGGTGTTGTTCTTCCAATATTTTCTCGATCGATCTCATATCGAGGTTAGCTGTAATCATAGCTGTAATCATGAGCTAGTTCCTCACATGGTCCTGTCATGTTTTTCCCTCAACCTTCATTGGATACCTTATTTCCATTGCTTGGATCTGACTCTTGTGTTTAGTCGAGTGGGTCCAAGTATTAGTATTTCATCATGAGAAATAGCGGCTCGATCTTAATGTCCACTGTCAATCAGCTCATATTATTGCCATTAACAAAATTTAAACACTATATTAATAATTTAATTATTCATGTTAAGATTTCCTTTTATATATAAACAAGAAGACCTATTAAAATTATACTTAAATTATTAACATTATTACATTGTTTCTCTGAACCATGTGCGATTATATCACTATGAAACAAATATTTTGTTAAGGATAGAAATGTGTACGTTATAATTTAAAATTATTCCAAAAATTATCTTTAGTAATCACTCTCCTCCCCCTGAATCTGTTGAGTTGTAATAACGTGTAATTTTAGGGGACTATGGAGAAGTTAATGGTTACGATATTTTTAGTCTCCTGAAAAGTTTTATACAAGGCTTTACAGGTAAAATATCAATAGTGAAAAGCTCTTAACGAGACATAAGAAATGGAGAGATGAAAAATCACACTTCTAGAATGATCAGGAAGCACAATGAGACGAGTAAATTCTCTTAATTTAAGCATAACATACCTAACCTAATAATAATGATCATAAAAAATCATTATCAACAATATCGAAGGTCTATGCTTCTATACCTCAGAGGGAAACTATCATGAAAATATTTGTTTTCATTTTAAACTTCACAAAAAAATTAATTTAATACTAATGAATTACTGAAAATAATTTTATGAACTAAATACTAAACTAAAGTAAAAAATCTTTGAAGCTGTTGTAGATGGAATTGTTAAGACTTCATGTTAGCAACAGTAAATATAGACATTAAAAAATAAAATAAAGTTTTCAAATACCTTCCTAAAGATGAGCAAAAATATTTAACCTACGTACCGAATAACTAACCATGTATCAGTAACAATATTTTATCTCTGAGCTAGAGAATTAGTTAGGAAGCTTATTTAACATAATATTTTAAAACTCGGACAACAAACTATTTCTTTTTGAATCAAACATAATTATTTGTTTTCCTTATTAGTAAAATTAAAATGATATTGTAGATATTAAATTATCATGTAAATTTAAAAAAACAGAAATATATAATAACATTTATAATTAAAAATACATAACAAAAATATAAAGATGTAAAAGAGACATATTTTGCTTATAGATTTACATTTCTTAAAAACTAATAGAATTTCTAGTTTATAAAATATATCATCGAAGTGATAGCCATATATCCGGTAACGAAATAACCGAGAAAGAAAGCAATCCCCCTAGCAGGCTGTGGAACGACGTAAACAGCATAAACAAAGGTGTGTGCGACTCGTGCAATCGTAAACAATCTCATTAGCATTATGGCAAGAGTTGTTGTAGGATTCGTTAGCAAGTAACAATAAGCCGCAACAAAGTAGATCAGAATGTTCTCCAGATCATTGCGATGCGCCCTAGAAAAGTGATTAAGTATTATGATATATCAAAATAAAACTATCAGACAAAAATATCAACATAGTTTTAATAGTAATACATGCTGGTTAATGTTATGAGGCAAAATCTTCAGAACTATTCTTCACTAAACTTAATCAACAACAACACAACTTTACCCCTATTTTACAATCTTCTATTATAACTATTCTTATAATAGTAATTAAGCTATATTACCTTGTAAGTTTAACAGACAAAAGATTAATCATCATTCAAATAAATTGAATTACTGTCATAATACATCCAAGCACAGATCTTCATATTACCTAGGAATATACTATATAAATAGTATTAATAAAAAAACATAATGATAATTTAACAGAACATAAAAAAGGGTGCGGAAAATAAATAATAATAATATAATGATAACCAATAAATTAAATAAATAGCCAAGGTGTTCCGGTTACATAAAGATGTGTTTCTATAATGTAATACGACAGTAATTCAATTGACTTGAAAGATGATTTGTCTTTTGTATTTCAAACTGATAAGGTAACATATTTTAATTATTATTATTTAAAGAGTTATTATAAGAATGTTGTAAAGTATGGTTAAAGTGATGTAATTTGTTCACTAATTTTAGTTAAGAATGGTTCTGAAGATGAAGATTGTTGCCTTGAAATGTTAATCACCATGTATTACTAATTAATATATGATGAAGGCACAGAAGTTAACTTAAATACCAAGGGCCTTATAAAAATATAATTTTATAAAAATTTTGATATTTATCAACATTCCTATTATTCACTTCAAGAATTGTGATGTTACAATTATATTTCATTTAAAGAATGTCTACAACTTACAAAAATACAAAGATAAAAATAGTGTAAAATAGTTATAAACAATCCATTCAAAAGATATTATATAATACATTATCTAAATACAAATTATGACCAGTCAAACTAATATCTTATTAGACTAGTTACCTTCGCACTCTCTCAATGTCCGGGTCCTCTACTCCATGCTTCGCACCCTTAAACATCGTTGTATCTTCAGGAGTAATGAAGATCTGAAGCAAAATTAAATCAAATCACATAAAATGACAATAAAGTTTGTTGCCAGGGCTTATTTTGTTGGATTAGAGGTCTAAGATCCTCGGGTCATCAGCCCTAACAATAAAATAAAGTTTATATTACAAAATTTACATTTACGAAATAGTATATTTATATTACTGCAGATACCATTTCTCTCTTATAATAAATATACAACATTCCAAACTTTGTCATACATGCATTTATTTCATCATATTCTAAACGTTTCTGGAGAATATTGCTCATTAAGTTTTCAATTGTCAGGCTGAAAATATATAGTAAAGAAACATTGTTTTGTTCAAGAAGATGTACTAGAAATCTAAAATTTTGATAATTGAGCATAAAAAATAAAAATGGAAAAAGTTGCTTAAAAATAAATAAATAAGGGGGTCAATATTTTTTTATTGCTTCAACCACTATTAGTTCTCGTACAAAGTGAAATATAGTGATTACTATATACTGTATGGAAAATCTTAAAGATCAAAACATTTTAAATAGTTTTTAGAATTCTTAAGTAGATGGAAAAATAATAGTTAAGTAATATAACATATGTATTCAGGAGTAATCAAGGACAGACATTGCATAACTATGTTATCATGATTGTAACTCTCTTTCCTTTTAAAAATAGATTTCTTAACAAAACAAAAAAAAACTTGTGGATAAGAAATAATTAAAATTTATAACTATTTTTTTAAATGGTTAGTTAAAAAGTTTAATATATTCAGAATATATTAATTTATTTTTATCCCCATCCACATGGAGTAGGTATTACATAATCGAATACCTTTTTTAGTATTGAATGACTTTAAAAAAAAAATGTTTATATATAATTATTGACCTTCAGATGACATCCTTACTGGAAGATTAAACCTGCTAAAAAAAGATACAGAAGTTAATCTCGACAACTCCTGCTGAACCAATAGTGTGAGAGTACACAATATAATGTTATTATTGAAATCTGTACTTTTGATATCACAAATTTGTTTCATCTTGTTTCCAAACGGAAGTCATGGTCAGTGGTTTATCGATACCCGCCAAATCTCTTTTATGGTTCTACATCGGAATATATTGGGCAAATGTTCCTCTGTTTGTTCTGATAGGTCTTATAAGTTAAGAAAAAAAAGTTATTCATATTTTTAAATTATATCATTGTTTTTTGCCTTTGTTTTTTATGGAATTCTAGACTATTATATACCAATAGATTTATTTTTTGTGTAAAATATGAAAAACAAAATATATTGTCAATAGTATTAAATAAGTATAAATATATCAGAAATTACAAAAACCAAAATATGTTTTCTGTAAAATAGACCGAGCAAATTTTAGTTTTGAAAAAGCAAGTTATATTTGCTTTTAACACTCCCAAATACAAAATTCTAATATAACTAAAAATATATAAATTTTCTTGGAAGATTTTTTTTCCTGATGCAGTCATAACTTCTTACAATTTTTTCCAAATTCAAAATTACTACAACCATTGGAAATTTGAATTACTGCTCTTCCTACTCTGAAATCTTCCAATGATTTGAAATCGGTAATCCACTGGCTGTGACCTTGTTAATGGCAACCTTTACAAAAACCATTAAAGAAAATACAAATATTATTCTTCACTAATGTTACATATTTATTAATGGCAAGATAATAGGAAATATTTCTGAAAGACTTACACATATTAGTGTTCTGTAAATAGGAGAAATACAAAAATTCATTAATTTCCAGGAGAGATTATTTGACAAGATATTTTAGAAATTGATTTTTTTGCCATTGTTACATTGGAGAACCTTCAAGGTAGATATTCAAATATGAAAGTTGCCAATCCACTGGTGAGCTATTCATGTAAAAAATCAAAAAAGATGAAAACCCGAGAGTATTTAATTTATTGAATTCCCTCATTTTGCATAGCACAATATACCAAAAAAAAAAATCAAATGTTCTAATATTAATTATTTCTTTTCAACGTTTTACGACTTTAATGTCATCTTATTGAAATAATTGTCATGAGCACTACATGAAAGCTCTATTCATTGAGAAACATAAATTACATTCAAGGCTCCACTTACATAGATGATGAGTCTAAATATTGCTAAGTCATTACTCCCAACAACCTTGAGTGAATCAAGAGTTTTGAATGTTAATCACCCAACTACACACATTTTTTCGGTATTATCAATAGTTCTAATATTTCAAAAAAATACACAATAAAAAAAAATATTTTTAATCACAGAAACAGAGTAAATATAGAATGTCAAAACAAGGAAGTTACAAACAAAACATTGAATAATTGTAAGAAAATAAAATAAAAAAGTATCAAATTTAAAATTTAAAATATTTTACTTCGTAAACTATTTCCATACAATAAGTATAAACGTAAGATCATTAACACAGGACAAGGGAAAAAATCATAGAAAAATTAATTGATAAGAACTGTTCTTATATGATATGAAGGCAGGGAGCTTAAGATGGGCGGGGCATATAGCTCGTAGCAATCTGTTAATTTACAAGTACATTGTATTATAATTTTGTTTTGCATAATAAAAGCTACTTCCATTCATTCATATATTTTGATGCTATATCTATTTTTATTAATTAATTAAATTTAAAACCATTCACAATGAAAATAATGTAGATTTAATAAGTAATGTACAAATTTAACATGTAGTCTAATAATAGGTATAGCATTTAGTATTGTATTTAATTAATCAATTAGGATTCCCATAATAGAAATGTATATTTTCTCTCTATTATATAAAAAAGTTTTTGGTGACTGTGTCATATTTTATTTTACATACATAAAATGGAACCGACCCTAACGAAGACACCACACTTCTTATTCCCAGAATTATTTTTCCCTTATTATGGTTACAAGTCTGCAATGAGAATAATTATAATTATTTTATAACTATCCATTTATAATAATATAAATTGGCAATAAGGCGTGATGTTTAATATAGATTTTTTTAAAAATAATACCATCTTAACTTCAGAATACATGTAAATTACAGTTTACTATATTAATTATTTGGGCAACAAGTTAAATTAATGAACTAAATGAACAGTTGTATAATTTGTAAAATGAGGGCTAGTCTTCCATTAAGTTACCAAGGGGTACCTTGCTAGTAATAAAAAAAAAAAATGCAAAGGAGCCGTTTCCAACCAAATAACCCATTTTCTCTGACGCTGTTCTTTATATATCCTCGGTGATCTGTTAAAAGGAGCCAATTCAACACTTTGGTATTTTCCGGATTCATGGCTTCAGTAGTTACTGATGTGAAAATATGCTGTTGATTTAATATTAGTTTCCTCTCAATGCAATAATGACAAAAACATCATTACCAAAATAACTACTTCTGAACAGTAGTAAATTGGATTAGCTAGTTTTATAGAACATCAACCACATCTCAATATAAAAATATATTGCCAATAAATACTTAATGTCTAACAGAAACAGAATAGGTGGAAACATAGTTTAAAGTTTTAACATGTAATAAAAACATTCAAGGCTACATAACAGCGTACAGTAAACAAATAACTATCATAATTAAAGACATTACTAGTGTTAATTAATTATTAATCAAAGCTTAGAAGTTATTTTATTTCAATAAACTATGAATTTAAAGTAAGTTAAAAATATTTCCTACGACAATTTACAACTTTCAAATTAAAACAAACAGAAAAGGACATGTTTAAAATAATTTATCACAATTTAATTAATAAATTTCTGAGAAAGAAACTGAAAAACTAACATCCAAATTAGTAAAAAATTAGTTTATAATTTATAACAAATGAAACTTAGTCAGGAAAACCACAAAGTTTCCCGAATCATTGCCCAAAAACATTTGATAAGAATATTATCTTGTCATAATTAAATTGCTAATTCAAATGAGATCTCTGCAGAATGTAATCAAAATCTTTAAGATGAATTACAAGTTTCTTTATAGGTGCTTCGTAATGTAATAATTAAAGGTACATACCTTTTTTGCCATCCTCAGCCTTGCTGTCAATGGTGCCATACAAAGCATTTTCAAAATTAAAATGCTATTGTAAAATATATAGGCCCTGAAGACCGGGTTGTCCAGGGACATCAAGTCGGATATTGGAGTATATGCCATTTCTACGCTAAATTAAACGGAGATTTCAAATTTCAACGCCTGACACCTTTAAGTGACTGCTAGACCAGAGTCAAAACATTGCTCTTATATCGAGTCAAGAGCGCAAGTCACGCGAGGTATCGATAGTTCTACATCAATTAATATAGCGTCGTATATCGAAAGATGTCAATTGGCTATCGTATTATTATAAACTATTACTTAATTGTAATTTTATACATTGAAGATAAAAATGTCACAGAAAATCATATTTCTTAAACAATTGGATTTTATTCGATAACATTTAATGCATCGGTATAAATTTTATTTGGTAGTGGCCCACAATTTTTTATTATTTTAATGCACTAAAATTAGTTCAAGAAAATGGCAGATACGGTTAAAAATGTTTTTTCGCTTCTCTTATAAATTATTCATTTTGAGGGCTGTGCCCACATTACGGATTTGTTGATGATGTAAATAATTTTCCTCAATAATAATTATAGCCCTAATGTCTCTCAATAGTAGTACCGATCGCGACGAAGTGCTCAGTAGTTGTCTGAACACCACAATGAGCCCTAGCTTTATTATAGCTTTGTGCTTTATATTTAATAAGTCCGATAACAATTAAGTAGTAGCTTGGGAAAAAAATTCAACTAAGCTATCAAGGTTCTAAAAACATTTGGGATTACATAAATTTAAAATGAATTAAAATGTAATAGTTATCACCTACGGGGATCAGGTTCGCTCAATGAGTAAAGTACTGGGGTACTATGCTCAAAGGTTCGAGTCCGTCTGTGGCAGGTAATTATTTATGCTGTTACATCAGCCATAGAACGGCCCTGGAGTCTGGCGATCCTCCTGGGCATAGCCAGCCTAAAGTGGTTACTCTTAATTAAATAATTAATTAAGAGGAAAAATCTGGCGGTTTTATCGTGATCTCGGCTAAATCAGCTATACGCAGCACACTTAGCCAAGAAACAGGAATTACTTACAAAGTAATGAACCTAAATCCACCATTGGCTGCAGTGCTACAGGTTTTTTTTAGGCCATCATTTCTAACGTTCAAAACTTATTAAAATATTAAGTAAGCACTAGTTCAGTATTTTATTCTATGGCTTAAGGAGTAAACAATTTAAACAACCCTATTTTTATTATATTTTGTATTGACAGAACTGAAGTTTAAAAAAAAAATGTTGATCAATTTTCACACCAGTCAATGGGTTCTTCCTCTTCTGCTGGTTTGCTCATCAGTTGTGCGAATATCTTGAGCGGCAGCCCGAAGGTGTAATAGAACAGGTTGCCGATGAGGAGGTCCCACCCATGCAGTAGTTTGTACTTCACCAGTCCGAGGTCGGGCAGCTATCGGAATACATTAAATACACACATTATTACCTCCTAACTCGTTTAAATTATCTTTCATTTATTTCCGCATACAGTTTATAATATTATCTATATTAAGATGCGTTAACACATTTCACAAACTAAGGGAAAAACAAATATATAAATGTTGAATAGTTGATGGTTAACCAATATATTAGGTTTTCTGGAAAATAATGCAGGATTTTGGTTTACAAATAAAAAAAATAAAGATTTACAACTGTTTCATTTAATCAAAATAGTCTCCACTACTATCAATACATTTTTACCAACGTGTTGGCAACTTTTCCATTCCCACGGAATAGAATTTTCCATCTTTAGAATTGATAAACTCCAAAAACTCATTTTCTAATACCCTTTGTCCATTAAAGTTGTTGTCACGTAAATAGTGGTCCAGGTGTCTAAAAAAGTGATATTTCGTGAGCGAGAGGTCCCAAGATAAGGCTGATGTGGCAGAGTTTCATATCCAAGCCCCAACAGTTTTTTGTGACGTCACACCTGAGACATGTCATACAACAAAATAGGTCCTCCTGTTGACCAAAGGTAGCTTATTGCCAATTTCTGATGCGTTGGGGCTTTGGAGGATGGTCTCCTTTGTCGAGCCACTGTTCGGAACGTCTACTGCTATCGTAAGGTATCCACTATCCAGAATACTATAGTTAGATAATTGCCCGTGGTTTGTCAAGTTACTAAACGCACCTTAAAAGGACGTTTCACTAACTATAGGAAACACAAATATTTAAATGGTTTTTCCCCATGCTAATGTTTATGTATGTTGTTTCTGATGTTTTCGCATTTCAAATTCGCATTTGACTTGATCATGAATGTCTTCGGCCGGACAATGTACAGAAAGTGTGTCTTCGGCCGGACAATGTACAGAAAGTGTGTCTTCGGCCGGACAATGTACAGAAAGTGTGTCTCCGGTCGGACAATGTACAGAAAGTGTGTCTTCGGCCGGACAATGTACAGAAAGTGTGTCTTCGGCCGGACAATGTACAGGAAGTGTGTCTTCGGCCGGACAATGTACAGGAAGTGTGTCTTCGGCCGGACAATGTACAGAAATAGTTAAATCCAAATGAATACAAAGCTGCTCCCATTCTTGTAACAGTAAAAAAAGATCTATGAAAAACTGGCGGCGGCTACAGCCTGAGTGATTGTTAGCATCTCAACATTTTAAAAGTAGCTGATTAAAAAAAAAAAACCCTCTTCTTGAAATAAATTACATTAAAAATTTTGATCCTTGTTTGGGGCAAATTTTTCTGCTGGTTACATTAGTAATGGACCATGTTTTATGCTGGTTACATTAGTAATGGACCATGTTTTATGCTGGTTACATTAGTAATGGACCATGTTTTCTGCTGGTTACATTAGTAATGGACCATGTTTTATGCTGGTTACATTAGTAATGGACCATGTTTTATGCTGGTTACATTAGTAATGGACCATGTTTTCTGCTGGTTACATTAGTAATGGACCATGTTTTATGCTGGTTACATTAGTAATGGACCATGTTTTCTGCTGGTTACATTAGTAAAGGTACTATTTCGCTGGCGCGGTCCACGACCGCGACTGCTCGCGGTTGACCACTGCTTTAGTGGAATAGAAAGGAACCTATTTCGCTGGCGCTGCTCGGCAGTTTAGGTATGACGTCATATCTAAGCTGCTCGTACTGACTCCTCTTGAAGCAGTGGAGCTGTTGGCGGTTCGGCGGTTGTAGGTTATGTTATCATATCAGAGCATTGTTTTGATGATAACAGTCACGTCGATACACTTTATTTCCTATGTTTCTTTCAAGTCTGGCAAAATTATAAAAAATATCGTTTAAAACTGAAACAATGCAATAGTAAATTATTTTTTTATGGTTGAAGTAACAAGATTATTTATTTATTTATTCCACCAGCAATGTTTTACAACGAAATACAAATATACCTAAATCCAAACGATATTAAATGAAATAAAGAATCCAACAAATTTTATTGTCAGATAAATACTAAAATCCACATATTGAAAAATCGATTTGTATTTTTTAATTAAAGTGGTGATTTACTGATTACTATTGATAAAACTATAAAACATCGCCTGCTGGATTTAATTACAAATATATGATATTTATTACTAATCAATTATGTATTAATTACTATTACTTTTCAAACTAATAATATCTAATATCAGAGGGACTTTGATGATGAGCATCACATCGAAATACTGATATTCCTTCTCTTTATGAACAACATTTTCTCTTCTTTTTCCTCCTCAAATAAAAAAGCGGTAGTCAGAGATGTTAATTATTATAGGGATGTTCATTTTTATTATTATATTATGTCTATCTTTTTATCTTTGAAGATACAGCGAAATGTTTGAAGGTTATAGGCAGGTTATAACAACCCCAGTGAGCAGTTTCAGCGAAATAGCTGCGCCAACAGCGGTTGGCAGCGTAGAATAGCGGTCGCTGTCGTGGACCGCGCCAGCGAAATAGTACCTTTATGGACCATGTTTTCTGCTGGTTACATTAGTAATGGACCATGTTTTATGCTGGTTACATTAGTAATGGACCATGTTTTATGCTGGTTACATTAGTAATGGACCATGTTTTCAGGACAGTGGAGGGAAAACAATGATCCCAGAAATAATTTTCCGGGCCCTCTCAAACAATAAGTTGACCAATAAAACTCGACTGAAAACTTTTATTAAGTATTCAAGGAAAATGTTATATAAATGTATTACTTAATTATTGTATAATATAATTAACATATCTATACCATCTTTATTATATTATTATATATACCATAAGGGTGTAACCTTTGTATCACTGTTGCTATTTTTATTTTTGACTAAATACATACACCCACATGCATACATTCAACTTAATTCTATTATTTTCCAAATTTTCGTTACTTAAATTTTAATTAATTATAGCTCTAGATTAATAAATATGACGCAAAAATAATGGGAGGCGGCAACTACATCAGAGGGCGCATCTGGCCTCCCTCCGAGGCTGCGGTTCCTAACCTTTGTATTCTCTTTTGTATTTATTCATCATTGTTATTCTAAGAGACTTAGTCCCAGAATAAAATTCAATTTTCTATCCAATGATATATATTTTATTTTAATGTGAATTTAAAATTAAAATAAGTATCAAAAACTAATTAAGAATAATCGAAAAATTAAAAAAGATTCTATGGCGATGTGCCTCCTTAGATTCATGGAAAATACTCAAAAACTTGGATGATTCTAATTATTGTAAAACAGTTTTTCTTCCATCAGTTTTTTGCCTTGATAAGCTAAAATATGTAATTTTTGTCTTCTGATTATTTCTATTATACTTTCAAATTTCTAGAAATGGGTCATAACTTATGGTCATTACTTGTGCATGATAAGAACAGTCTTCATATTTTGAACCGGCCCATTAAAAAGATTTGAAAATAAATTGAAGACTTAATAATTGATTTACATTGAGATAAGTGAAAAACTTCAGAGAATTAAGGATTGTTGTATATATTTGCTAACTATAGTTTTTCAGTTTTGTGTATAGTTAGTCTCCTTAATGTTTTATTTTATTTTTCTCTAATCTTTTCTCAACAAATCCTCTTTCTCCAGCTATTAATACAATTAAATTTTATAGAAAATGTTTAATAACAGAACCAAATGATCTTATATATATACTAATTAAAATGATTGAAGGTTTAGTTATAACTCAGGGTAAGTTTTGAAAAATACATTTCAGATACTTAAAGATGGTACTTTAACTAGGAATCGCGGCGAATCAAATGGGCTTGTAAAGTTGTTGGGCTTAGTAACGAGAGAATTCCTAAAAGGTTAATATTTGCTGTACCGAATGGTAAGCGTCCGAGGCGTAGACCGAAGCGAAGGTGGGAAGATTGCATTAAAGCCGATTTAAATGGACTGGGTTTGGACGGTGAACGGTGGCGGGAGATGTGTAACAAGCGATTGGTGGTGTCGGCATCGAACCTTCGGGTTCGCTAAGCCTTTTATTATTATTATTATTATATTTATTTTATCTTATTTATTCAAAGTGGAAATACAGTATGCAGAAAGACCTACCTGTGTTAGTGTACCTTTGGAAGGAAAATTAGACTCCAAAAATGAAAGCATGAAATCTGTCGTTCCCTTATGGTCGCCCCAGATTTTGTTGTCGATTGTCCACCGGGCAGCGAGATACATAACGAACAACTTCATGCCTGTTTTCAACAACTCAGCGCTCCTTTCAGCGTAAGTCTTACAAGGGGGGCAGGGGGGGCATACGCACGGGACAGGCGGTGCTTGGAATTCCATAGGCTTTATTGAACAAACCTGGAAAATAAAAATTAGTTCATACACATAGATATATATTTATTTTATATGCGTACATACGGGAATAAAATGAAAAAACTTTATTATTATTTCATAATGATGATAACCATTACTTAAATTTAAAAAAGGGAAGAAAAAGAAGACTTATTAAACAGAATATTCATCAAGGATAGAAAAATTAATAGAATTTATATATAATATGGTCAAGCATAAAAATTATAGAATATATATATATATTCATACTTACATACACACACAGGGTGTACCGTAAGTTGAGGGAAATATTTAATTGGTTGATAGTAAACAAATATTTTGCAATTTTTTTTATCACCATTTAATAGTACTACATTTACCCCACTTTCACAAAAACTTGCTCGTGTAATAAGCTTCAAGTACATATTAATTAAATTGAGGTTTATTAGGGAAAATTTTAGATTTACCTTATGTAGTGTAAAGAAATGATAGGATATCCCCTCCCGTCACCTTAAAATAGCCGTGTTTTCTGCAAAAATGACTGCAATTAACTGTTGTACAGTTTTTATTTATCTTTTTTCGCGGATATAGAATGTATTTTATAAATATAATTGCCTAAAAAAATATTTTATTTATAAAAATAAAAAAATTAAAAATAATGCTTTTTTATGGAAGGTAGATTTGGAATTGTGTTTTTCTCTCAGACTTCTGCCATAGGTGTTGCTGTGTATTTGTAAGAGATAAACTTAATGTTTCTTGGCCTAATATTTACGTTTATAGGAAATAATTATAGCAATCAGTAGATTTCTTTATTTCAAACGTAAATTTTAGTAAGAAATATTAAGTTTGCCACTGATAAATACATACCAATTCCTATGAAGGAGATCTAGGAGAAACACAAAATTTCATAACCACCTTGCATGAAATATTGAAGGAAGTTAGTGGACAGTTCTCCATAAAAAACAGATCGGTGATAAATATTCAGGACGTTCTTTTTTTTTTTTAATTTTTATTTAGAAAAGACGCTCGCTTCAAAAACGTCACAGAAACTCTGCCCCTGGGTCAGGTGGCAAATCGCCTAACAAGAAGAAAAATAAATCAGCAAAATCTAAACAGACAGCTGAACAAAATAAATCTAAACAGCCTGCCGAACAAAATAAATCACCACCCAGAACTAGAAGCAAATCAAACACCACAAAAACAGCTCCAACTGCACCAAATACCACAGCCAGCAATAATTTTGATCTTGGTAGTAACTCACCTAACAAGCCTCCGGCACCTCAAGGTTTTACTGACCCCGAGCCGCCCCCTATTTTTGTCTCTAAAATTGAAAATTTTATATCATTCGTTCAAGAAATTGCCAATCTTATCGGACAAACCAGTTTCCGCTGTTTTTCTAGGGTTAATGACATTAAGATTAACACTAGCTCTAAAGAAAATTATAAAACTCTGATAAATTATTTTACAACTAAAAAATATGAATTTCATTGTTACCAACTGAGACAAGAAAAGGCATATCGGGTGGTATTGAGAGGCTTGCACTCAACCACTCCCACATCCGTTATCAAATCTGATCTAGAGGAAATAGGACATAACGTTAGGCATATAGCATGCGTACTACAAAGAACCCAAAAATATCCATTGCCACTGTTTTTCGTTGATTTGGAGTCTGCAAGCAATAACATTGACCTATTTCAAGTTAAGAGGCTTGTGTATTCCACAGTAAAATTCGAAGAGCCTAGACAAAAACCTGTCATAGTTCAATGCACCAAGTGTCAAGACTTGGGGCACACAAAAACCTATTGCTATCATCAAGCGAGGTGCGTTGGATGTGCCGGGCCACACGCATCTAACACTTGTCAGATCCCTCGAGACCAGCCTCCTAAATGTGCTCTCTGTGGCGAAGACCATCTTGCAAGCTATAAAGGATGCATAGTATATAAAAAATACTATAAGTTAAGAATTCATAACATAGCCTTTAAGTGCAGCCAAATAAATAAAGAAACTTACACCCAGCCACCAGAAATTGATATTACAAATTTCCCTGAGTTGCCAAAACAAACTACCCATTCAACATAACAAGAACCAACTACTTCAACTGAAATCGCCCATCCTCATCAGGACTCTACCAAAACTAGCACCCATACCACCATCAAGAAGCAGCAGCCTCGACGCCAGGCGCCTCTGGCCTCCCAAACTAAACCTCATACTCCCAATCCTCTCATATTTCATCCTCCGCGTCAGCAAATTTCCCCTCATCATCTACGAGTCAAATTACCGCCACAGCAATTGCACCCATCTCATCCTAATGTCCAGAAAAAAAAACCCAGCACAAGTATCGTCGAATCCAGTTCCACCTCGTACACAACAACGAATCCCACTCTCGGTTAACACTCCTTACCCGCCACCTGAACCTATCCTAAATCCACTTCACAATCAACATCCATCTGATCTAACTTCCATTCTATCATCCTTCCTATTGGACCTCCAAAACACCATAAAACCTCTTATCACTCTACTAACCAGAACCCTGACCGAAATTCCGTTTAATTTCCCTCGATGAGCACAAAGCTCCTAACTGTCCTTTTATGGAATGCTAACGGACTACACAACCACCGTGACGAACTTGACATATTTCTTCATGACAATCACATTGATATAGCTCTACTGACTGAAACGCATTTCACAAAACGGGCACATTTTCATATACAAGACTACATCACTTATAGATCTGACCATCCAGACAACACTGTCCACGCCGGTTCTTGCATCCTTATACATAAATCTTTACCCCATTCCCTTATTCCTTCCACTCCAACTGACGCCATTCAATCAACTTCTGTAATCCTTTCAACTCGCCCTTTCCATTTCACAGTCTCAGCTGTATACTGTCTTCCTGGTAATTCCCTCTCCTTTTATCTCCTTGATACGTTGTTCCAATCTCTCGGATCGCGCTTTATTGCTGGAGGAGATTACAATGCTAAACACCAACGGTGGGGTTTTCGAACATCCAACTCCCGCGGTAACATCCTTTCCCGTCTCTCATCTTCTAATAGTTATTCAATCCTCTCGCCCATGAGTCCTATTTATTGGCCAACATCCCTCAAAAAACGTCCCGATATCCTTGATATATTTATCACCTCCCAGATTTCCTCCTCACAAACTATAATCGAATCCCTGGATGACCTTTCTTCAGACCATAGTCCAGTTCTGCTTTCACTACATTCTGACTTTGCTCCTAAACCATCACCTCCTAAACTGATCACTGGACGAGTAAACTGGGAGAAATTTCGTGATGATTTGGAAAACAAACTAGACCTCAAAATTCCGCTAAAGGCAAAAGAAGGCATTAATGGTGCCATAGAAAAACTGACATCATCAATAACAGACAGTATAAATAATAACACCTTTATCAATAAGATTAACAACCCACAAAATACTAACTTGCCACAGCATATTCGTATCTTATTAAAGGAAAAACGCAGAACAAGATAGAGGTGGCATAGGACTAGATACCCAACAGATAAAGCGCATTACACCCAACTGACTATCAAACTGAAATCAGAAAATTCAAAATTCAAAATTTACTAAATTTTACTGAAAACTTACACCAACCGATAAATCACTATGGACGACCACTAAAAGGTTCCTGAAATTTAAAGACTGCAACCATCCACTACTCACTGAAGCCCAAACCTGGTCCAAATCCGACGAAGAAATATCCCAAATATTTGCTCACCACCTCTTTAAAACCTTTAATTCACATCCCGATATTCTTAACCCAAATCACCTTGAATGTATTGAAGCAGAACTGGATATCCCACTCCAAATGACTCCTCCTCCTAAAGCCTTTCATCCTTCAGAAATATGCAACATCATTCACAGGTTACCTTCCCGCAAAGCTCCTGGACACGACCTAATTACATCCCAGATCCTAAAACAACTTCCTCGGAAAGCGATTCTATTCCTTACATATATATATAATGCTGTACTCCGATCCACATATTTTCCCGACCCTTGGAAACTATCCATTATCAAAATGATACATAAACCCAAAAAGCCACCAGAATACCCATCCTCTTACCGTCCTATCTCTCTTTTACCCAGCATGGGAGAAGTCCTAGAAAAACTCATCCTAAAACGCCTGTACCCAACCCTAGATTCTAATCACATAATCCCAGATCACCAGTTTGGATTCCGCAGATCCCATTCCACTATCCAGCAATGCCATCGTGTGGTGGATGTTGTCTCCTGTGCATTAGAGAGCGGAATGTACTGCACGGGAGTCTTTCTCGATGTAGAACAGGCTTTTGATCGAGTCTGGCACTCAGGACTACTTTACAAACTCCGTAAATTCCTACATCCTACATACTTCCTCATTATCCATTCCTATTCAACTGATAGAACTCAAAAGTCAATCACAATAATGCATATTCATCCCTCTTTTCCCAGTCCGCTGGTGTTCCTCAAGGTAGTATCCTTGGTCCTATCCTTTACACAGTTTGTACAGCTAACATCCCAACCCATCCTAACACTGTTATTACCACGTATGCCGAAGATACATGTGTCCTATCCGTTAATAATGACCCAACCATTGCATCCCAAACTCTTCAATCGCACATCACAAGCCTTGAGTGTCAAAACTGGAGGTTTAAAATAAATTCTAATAAATCCCATCAAATCACCTTTACCCTTCGATGTAAATCTATGACCTCATGTCCCACAGTATCCTTTAATAATACCCCACTTATCCCTGTTGAACAAATCCGATACCTTGGACTTCACTTGGACAAACGTCTAACTTGGAATCCTCATACCAGACTGAAACGACAAGAAACCGCTCGACGTTTCCGACTACTCCAACACTTACCAGACAAAGCTCTAAGCTTCCAGTTAATTACAAAAGACTTACATACATGACTACAATAAGACCTATTTAGACTTACGGAGTTGAGCTTTGGGGCTCCACTAAGCCATCGAATTCCTCTCGTATCCAATCCTTACAATCCAAAATCCTTCGGAAAATC